CAGGAGGGCTGACTTATTGCGTGATGAAGCTTTGAAGATCCATTGTTGGTTTGGCGAGTAAAGGAGTGATACGAGGACAGGGCAGAGAGATAAAGAGAGAGAGAGAGGGAGGAGAAAAAATGCAGAATGTGAGAAATGTCAGCTCTCGGGGGAATGCTTGGCCCCGGCAACTCCTGAGCATTGCAGAGCTGTGATTTTTTTTGTTTTGTTTTACACGCAAAAAGTACAAGCGGACAAAACAAACTCATAGAAACAATGAATAACTTACAATAACAAATGGACCAATGACCCGTAAGTGACAGAGAGATACAGAGGACTGCGGGCTATGAGGATGATTTTCACTGGACTCAACTGTTTTAGCAAACCCTTCACATTACTGGTAGTCATTAGGTTCAGTGTAAGTATTAAATATTGCCTTATGGAGCTCTGGGTTCTTGCTTGTAGCACTCAGCATAGTGCAAAAAGTAATGCAGATTACAGAGGAAAACAACCCGCTGTTATGAGCCGGTTATGATCCTTTCTCTTTTATGAGCAAAGCCTTACTACAAATGGAGAATTTAACACTTCTAGAGCTTTTTAAAGATTGGAAACAATATGAACAAGTTAGACACATGGATACTTCTTACCAACAAAAAAAACTCACTTCACTGAGTTTCTTTTTTCTAAATTTATCTGTTAGTATTCAAAATAAGTACTTCCTGCAGAGGATATTCTCCTTCTTTTTTACACAGCATCAATCATAGAGCTTAAAAAAAAGACTAAATACTAGTCAAAAAAAAGATCTCATTCCTCTTATCATAAGCCACTCTTACTTGACAGGTTCAAATGTCATCTTATCTAAGGTTATTTCAAGCCAAGATTTTCAAGTTTATTAAATCAAGGAACTTATCAATGAGGTTTTGTGAGTGTTGCATTGGCAGATATTTGAACTTGGTGGATGTATTTTCACTCCATAATAAGCCTCTCCCCTCAGCCAGCTATGACTTGAGTGTTCAAGGATCATCTGCAAAGGGCAACACTGACAAGAGATGCTCAAAATGTTCAATAACCTCACCATGGATAGATGCAGAGTGGAAATCACCTCACACGCCAATGCTGTGTATTATGTTACAGCATAATTTGGGGAAATTATTCGTATTATCTTTTATGTGCAAATGCTCACTTTGAGTTCATTTTCAATAAAGTACCTCTTACTTTGACTTCAATGGATCATCAGACTGTTAGTTTTACTTCACCTTTAATAAAGTACAGAGCTATACTTTTTCTTCAGCAGAATGCTACAGTATTTGTTCCACCCCTGGTGATTTTTATCCAGTATTTTGATTTATGACTAAATATCTCCAAAACTTGATTTCATTCCTCAAAGCAAGTCCACAGCCATGATAGTGTAGCTGTAGATTGACACCAAAACGTATATATGGTGTGCATGGATGTGATGCAGTGTGTAAAATATATGTACTCTTGGTACCATGATTTAGCCTGTGAGCCAACAATAGAGAAAACATTTGATTTAGCGCTCTTTTTATGACCCCCCTTTCCTGCAAAGCAGGATATTGCTTCTGTTCTTTCTTCCACTTTTCTGTTGCACCAGGAAAAATCTTGGCCTGACCTCCCAGGCAAGTGCACAGTGAAGGCCATGAAACCATCCATCTATATCCATTCTCTATCTTCCTCCCTAAATGTGTGACAGAGGTCACCTTAAAGCCAGCATACTCTTTTTTAGATGTGCAGCAGAAGAAAAAAGACACGTACACTGAAGCAATCAGCCCGCGCCCTGTCCTTGTCCATCTGTAACCCTTCCTCTGTCTGTGTACTTCGATATCCTTTCCTCTTTTCCTGGCTCTGACCTGGTCTGTCACTTTTTTTACTTTTACCTCCTATCTGCTCATCTCTCTTCTCTCTGTACCCCTGAAGGCAAACAGACAATGTCATAGAGAGAACAATAGGGATAACCCCCCCAACAAGATAAACTACCATGACTGTGTTGTTATTACTATTATGATACAACATGATACTGTTAGTAAGTAAGAAAGTATGTAAGTAAAAGAAAAATGGTTTGTATAGCACTTGAAGTACAGTTGGAGGCCAAGGTTAGAAAGATGGAGTGGATGAAGAGTAGAACATGGAAGGAGAAGGTCAGAAATGCAATGAGAGGCTGTGCTATGGAGTGTTGTATGAGTGATTAACAGTGATGTTAATGCAAAATGTAACCAGTAACCAGTGGAGAGATGGCAGAGGCAGAATTAAGTGCCTGTGTTTTGAAGTTACGAAAAGTGTTGAATTGATGATCAACTCAACGGGGAATTACAATAATCGAAACAGGAGGGAATGTTGGTGTGTCAAGGCTGGTGAGAGAGAGCATTGAACTGATTTTGGTAGTATGTTCTCACTGAAGGAAACAGGACTGATCAAGGTAGGTGATATGAAGGTTAAAGGTTTTTGCTGATCAAATTTGATACCTACATTTCTGGGAGATGGTTTGATATTTTATTGTAATTGACCATAAACTGTTGAATAGAACTGGCAAAAGTGTCAAGGTCTGTTACCAACATTTTAGTTCAGTTTGAATTTAAATGAAAGAAATTCAGTTTTAACTATTTATGGACAATAGACAGAGAGTTATGAAGGGATGAAGCTTGTGTATCATCAGCATAACAGTGATATGAAATTTGAGGGAATTAGCTGAACAACTGACCAAGAGGAATCGTATTAAGAGAGAATAGGATTGGCCCGGGGACCAAACCCTGAGGAACTCCACACAGTTGGGGATAGGGTGGGGCATAGAGAGGTGATGATTATTATTGGGTGGCAGTACTTCAGGAGGTAGAGCGGTCATCCAATAACTGGAAGATTGGCGGTTTGATTCCCCCCTACCCGAGTCTGTATGTTTTGTGTCCTCGGGCAAGACACTTAACCCACCTTGCTCCCAGTGTGTGTGTCCTCCACTGGTGTATGATTGTGAGTGTTGTGTGGTGGTGGTTGGAAAGGCCGTAGGCGCAAACTGGCAGCTACGTTCCTGTCAGTCTGCCCCAGGGCAGCTGTGACTTTGAAGGTAGTTTACCACCACCAAGGTGTGACCGTATGAGCGAATGAATGATGTATCCAATGTAAAGCGCTTTGAGGGTCTCTGATAAAGCGCTATATGCAATCTGATGCATTAATCTATTTCTAGTATCAGTCCGATACCATTTTTAACAACCCATAGACTATGACAAAGAAATCTAATAATCTGAAGACTACTCATGAGGTCCACATCTAGACCACAGTGTGGGTTTCAAGGACTGCTAAATTAAAAAAAAAAAGGTTAAAAAAAAGCCATCAGACATTGACAGTTACAGTGCAGAAAACTTCAACCACGTTTTGTAGTGCCCTTGTGATTGCTTTCACATTAACCCACTTCATTATCATTGGAAAAATCCTGTTTAATGAGTTATTACTAATCAGCAAACGTCAGTCCAGAGGCTCAAGGGTTAACCATTGCCATAGAAGCAGTTCCAACCTCACAGTCAAAGCGTCTGTGTTTGAATTCGTGTGTCGTGCGCAGGTTAAATTCCCCCCTTTTTTGTATTTTAATAAAATGAAAAAATAACACAAGAAGAGAAATGTTTTCAACCTGAGACTCCATGACCTTCGCTTATTTTCAGAGAATATTTTGAAAGGGAAATAGATCATTGAGTTCACACGCAACAATCACCTCATACATTCATGTCCCTCGTATGATGTTTGGGTCATATTGTTCTGCACAGAGGCATGCATGCGCATACAATGACCCACTCAGTCACTCACACAACCTTACACCAAATTTTCCCTCATGCTGGGAAGCTGTCTGCTTCCTTTATCTGTGCTTTTTATCTTCTTTAGTTTGGGAACCTGCACTATGCATCTGCAGCAAAACATCCTGTTTACCTAAACACTTTACCCCTGCACCAGCACACTGAGGGAGGGACATAACAGATAAATAACTCTTGATTGCTGTATATAGGTCAGTTTGTCTACAAACCTCCACCAGCAACAGGGCGGGGTGGGGGGTCTGAAACAGAGACTGGGCCCTTAGAAGACTCAAAGACACAGACCACATGCACTCTGAAATGCTGTGCATCATTTGATGTGTAGAAAAGCATGCTTTTTTGTGTGTCGCCTCTGTCTTCAGTGTTTTCACAGCACTATAAGAAAGATGTGAGTTACTGTGCCCCACTGGCAGTGAATAAAACTTTTTACATTTTGCTCCTGTGTTGTGTTTGCCGTAAATCTTCTGTATTTTATTGCCAGTGGCTGCAAAAATCTGTTGCATCTTCTGACTGAAATCTCATCATTCTGACTTTTGACGGCCAAATTTGAATATTGAGTATGTAAATTGTAAAAACAGGGCTGTTTTCTTGGCAGTTATACCCCCCTGAACCCCTCACACCAGTTTCAGGCACTTAACTCACCCCCGGACTTCCACCACATTCGGAACAGTGGTGATTTTCGCTGTCCACCAATTCCTACCGGATCCTTTTGTGAGGCAAATTTCATGGTGGATTAGAGACAGCAGGAATCACAAGAACTCACAAGAACCTGCAGATTCATGTGCAATTGCGCAATAACGAGTTTTTTCTATAGCCACATAACCATACAAGCAGTAGATTGTGTCCTTCCAGAGGAGGAAATTCACTTCTAGACTTTTAGAATCAGCATTTCCTCTTTCATGGTGTCATCAGGGTGAAATGCTGTCTAGAATCTTTCACTTGTCTGTACCTGCCTGTTTGCATGGTGTGAAATACAATCCACCTGAATGTGCCTGTGAAATGTGCTCGACTTCCTTTCCAGCACGGGTTAAACTGTGCTGAATTCATGCAGCATGCTCTGGCATCTGGAAAAAATAGAACTCTTGCGATCAGCAGCGGCGTCCGGCGATCCACAGTGGAACGGAAAGAAGCCGATGTAAATTTGACACATTATCTTGAATAGTTACAATCAGCTTCGATCGGCGGATACAGGCTTTTCGTAGACATGCTGGATGCGGTAGAAATTGGGGGTTAGTCAGTCTTGTTCCTTTGATTTGCCTTTGTTTATCCTAAAATTGCATCAGTATGAGTTTCAGTAAATTTAATTAACATGCTTTTAAAGTTTTTAGATTAATCTATAATCAGAAGTTATTTCCTTACAGAGAAAAGAGGTCCGTTCATGACAAAGTAAAGATCCTGTGCTATTGGTTTTGAATTAAATTATACAAGCTAGATAAGAGTTACATTGGATGATTTCTCTGTCTTGTGACATATACTGATCATACAGGAGATCCTATCCTCTTTTCACTTCAATCTGTATGAATTATGCTTTAAAGAGGTCAAAGACTCATTGACTTTTGTTTAGATACATGACGAGTGTTTTTGAGGGCTGGCGTCCAAAAACTGCCCCTGAAGTGGAAGTTGCATCACGTGGCAGCAAATTCAATTTCAGAAGGGGCGTTGTCATGACTGCCTTCAGTTTCACACCAGACTAAATGAGGTGTACAAAAGATATATTGGTCCCATCAGAGAGAATCATTAGTGTCATGAGTGATACTGTGGCACCTGTGTTTCATGTGAGTACAGATAATTACTAATCAATTTTAGATCCTTTTGAACTTTGCTGTGAGAAGACATAAAAACTCAACAAGTCTCTTTTGTTGCTTTTGCATCTTTTATCCGGATGAAGACTTTATTTGGCTGAAATAAACTTTATGATGTTGATGAATAAAAAGCCCCTCCTCAGGAGTTTAGCTGGAGGGAAGTTAAAATATCAAGCATCTGGAGTAACAGCTCGAACATGGCTGCAGGAAAGCAACCAGGGAGCAATGATGTAAATATCTGTGAGATGACGCAAACAGGGCGACATCTAAACAGCACCTTTTTTTTCTGTGGTAAGCAGTAACTCTTGGTTTATGTGATTCATTAAAGCTTGTGTGAGAAGCTTCTTTGTTGGTTTTGGCAGCCCCTGAGGAAATAGTGGTGTGTCATCTCTCTTCACTGGTTCTGTTGTTTGTGTGCCTTGAGAATCTGCCTCTTCTTTCTTTCAAAACGTTAATATCATCACATGGCAGCATGATCAATTGAATGTCAATACCTATGTTAATATCTAAAAAGTGCTGTTTCACTCCAAAGCATTTGCTGTATGAACTCTGACTGACTTTTTGGAAAACTCATTTCATTTGCTTACATAAGATTCTGACTGATCCTGTCTGTGTTTCTGTCTGCAGAGAGAGGTAATCAATAAAGTTACAGCACAGTGCATTGTGCTCAGTTATGCATTGCTCCTCTCATGATAGGAAGACTTATTTATTGATTTTGATGCACTGGGATTGCTATGAGCTGTGTTTCCAAAATGAGTGCAGCCCACCTGCTGCTGTTCACCAAGCAGAGTAAGGGTCATTATCCTGCTAACAGTAATGCAATCAACAGTTCAAGTAGGCTAACTTTTGAATCAACGTACTGTGTTGGTACGTTTACATGACACTCGAGAAAACCAAATTATTGCCTTAATCTGATTAAGACCGGACAGCTGAAGTGCATGTAAACACTTAAGTCCTACCATTATAGGAGTTTAAAAACTCCGATTGGAGTCGGAGAACTCCGATTAAGACGCCCAGATAATGCGATTGGAATTCGATTTTCTTTCCCATGTGACCAGTGTAGTCGGCATATGACTGGACAATGCATTTGGGTCTGCACCACGCCCCCATAACCCCAGAACAAAAACACCAGAGAAGAGGAGTAGCGTGCACCTTATCTGCAGAAAAAGTAGCGCATACATCATGAACGACAAAAACAACAACAACAAAAAAGGTAGTCTTTGGCAGTTTAGCCCCAGGGATTCAACAAATTTTTTTTTTTTCATATATTTTATTTGATTGGACTATTTTAGCATACATTACCAGTTTAACACCAGCTACTCTATGATACAGTATATTAAACACTTTTCAGAGATGTGAAAAAAATAAAAATAAAAAAAAATAAAAAATAACAACACTGTACGTTGCTCCATCTTCTTCCTCGAAAATGACCAGCAGCAGTTGTAGCCACGTCTGACGTCTGGCACGGACCTGCTGTTTTTGTTGACAGTTGTATGGGGTTGGAAACAGCACCACTGAAAAGACCCGTATCGCCCCCTAGTTTTGGAGAGGAGGACACGTTCATGGCAATTATTCGATTTTCTCAGCTGCATCTATACGCGGACAAGGAGAGACGTCCGGTCCGGCAAAAAAAAAAAAAAATCATGAGCTTAGTCTTATTAAGCTGTGCGTGTAAATGCATTGACTTTGCTTGATGCATCCTGGGCAGATGTTAAAATTTGTCCCCCTTCTTCCTCGTCAATAATTCATTGACACATTTACATGTTGCTTTGCGATTTCTGCAAAATCTTTAAGGCAAACACATTTTGTAGCCCCTCCAGGCACGCTTACAGGAAGTGTAGCTGAACAAGACACACGAGAGTGCACGCAAGAGAATAAATAAGCCATCCCTTGCTTAAAACTGAATAAATTATTAGCACCTTACATGAGAGAATCTAGCAAAAAAAAACAATAAAACCTCCGCTCAGTCTTCTGAGTCCTGACGCAGCCATTGCTCAAATCGAGTACAAGCTGAAGTAATCCCAAAAAACTACAACACTGCCTTCAGGCACCACTGACTAGAGGGAGAGATGATCAGAGACTAAACTGCAGTCATTTATGCTTTATTCACTGATCAATAAGATGATTTAATACCGCTGCTTTATGAAAATTTAGTTGCTGCACCACAACGGTTGTTTAAGTGAAAAGATATTTTTTTTGAATGATTTTTTTAATCTAAGTTTCCAACTCTAATTTAGCAAGAAGGAATGATGTAACAGAAGATTCTCATGACTGACAGCTGCTGCTCAGTTTAACTGTTGCTGTATTCATGCTGTGTGAGTGTGATAAATTAAGAGAACTAATTAATAGCTCCGACAGATAAGTAGTTGGTCATCATTAGCATGCACATTGTTAATTCCTTGTCCTTTTTTTCTGTAGCCTCTCTGTTGTTCTAACTCAGATCAAACACGCTCTATTACTGTAATAAATCGTGTCATTGACCTCCTGATTAATTGGTCGATTGTGTCGCAAAGAAAAGGACTGCAAACACAGCAAGTCCTCAAAGGTCACACATGCACCCGCACAAGCACACATGCACACACTCACACGGCACACCGCACTCGGTGAGAAGGACAGATGCCCTTATTCAGCATCAGTTAACAGGCGATGTGTGAAGACATTTAGAGCAGCACATTTAACATCCCCACCTTGTCTCTCACCCGATCCAGAGTTGTTTATCTTCCGCCCTTGATAAAGTGACGGGAACATTATACGTGCGTGCGTTCGCGTTGTGTGCGTGTGTGTCATGAACAATCAGTTGAAACATTTCCCACAGTCCCACACCGGATCAATTGACCTTCCGTAGACATGTGAACAATGAAGAGTGATGGACGAAATGGGAAAGAGGATCGGCACTGTGGAACTGACGAAGAAACAACAGGAATAGAGCGGAGAGTGAGGTAATATGCAGAACTTTGAGGCAGGGAAGAGGGATCGTGGAGTAGGAAAGATGACAGGTGAGGCTGTCTTAACGTGATAAGCAGGCTGAGCTGCTGGGTTAAAGTCTGCACCGAGTGCTCAGCTTAACATTTATGAGTCATCATATAAAATAAGTTATTTATAGTCGGTTTAAAAGTTAAATATATTCCACAGAAACACCCGTACAAATGAATTACAGAAAGTTGTTGTAGCTCTAACTTTGAGACGCTTGATCTGCATGCAAAGTTTTAATTAAATCCAAAAAGGTGTTTCTGTATGTTTATCACGTCATCACCATATGGCTAAACAAATGGAGGGGAAAATATAGTTATCGAATCTTAACTACATTTTGGTTGGTGACTGGGGAACATACAGAAAATAATGACTTATTCTGCTCTCTTGGGATCATTTCCATCTAATTAGATCTTTTCTTGAGATTTTCCATTCTATCGTTGAAAAAGCAACAACTTTACAGTCTTGTAAGCATGTTAGCGAGCAAGCTTGCAGAGCCTTGAGATTTGTCTGTCTTTTTCCTTTTAATTTTAAAAGTTGAAAATCTACCCATCTACTGCTTTTATTAGAAATAGTATCACTGTTTGTCACTGTTTACTAGTGGTGCAACGGATCATCATTGATCCGTGATCCGTTCGGATCGACGTCATCGGTTCGGCACACACGTTACCCGTGGTTCGATTTCTGAAAAAAAAATTTGGCTTCCCTGTCAACTATGATGAGGAAGGAAAGAGGTCAGTGGACAAAACTGCGAAGGTGTGTAGGCACTGTGGCATAAGAAAGCCATATGACAGTGGAAACACATCGAGCATGTTCACGCATTTGAAAGCGACATCACCCGGGTGTTTTAATGACAGGTGTTGTGCCGTAGACTGCACCCCTGCCGTAGAACACACCCCTGCATCCCCTCCACTCGTTAGCTTCTTAAAGTGGAGATAATGATCTCATATTTAAAGAAACACGAGTATTAGATCATGACAACATGTCAAATGGAGCAGCAAACTTTCATTTTCTTTTTATGTGTCTCAAAAATGCAAATATAGAGGTGTACTTGGGTATAAACTGTACAGAAAGCTGTCCAGGTAGAGAGCATTATATTTTCGGGACAGCAATATTCCAAGGGCTGTTGTTTTTGGCTTCTTTGAATAGCCTGAATGAAATTATTACAGGCAAACGCTTTTGAATCCATCCAATGTAAGAAAAACTTGGATTATTTCGCCTCGTTATGTACTTTAAACCGCGCTCCCGTCAGGGGGTGCATTCTACGGCAGGGGTGCATTCTATGTCACAACACCTGAGATAAAACGAAAGCTGGCCAGCAACCGCTCATCACCGCAGCATTTAAGCAGCCTCTTCCTGCGCAATCCGACCGGGTTAAAGCTATCACAAACGCTATCGGTGTGTTTATAGCTACAGACATGAGGCCATATTCAGTTGTGCAAACGAGGGCTTTAAAAACATGCTGAAAGTGCTTGAGCCACGTTAAAATATCCCACCGCGCACATACTTCATTTTTGGTTCATTGTTACATTTTAAAGGAAGGAGATATGCCTATATATTGCACTTTAAGTTGTTTTTCATTAATAATTATGTTGAAAAGAAGATATTATGCCGTATGCACTACTTTTATATATTTTAATTCAACCATTTAAGTGTTTAATATACAGACGAAACTGCTTTTTGCTGATCCGAAAAATGATCCGATCCGTGACTCTTGATCCGAGGAACGATCCGATCCGTGAGTGTTGTGATCCGTTGCACCACTACTGTTTACCTTTTTCAAGTTAAAGCTCCAGTAAGGAGTTTTTCAATATTTCTTAAATAGACTGAAACTCAAACCAAAGCCTTTTTTATGATTTACCAAAGCAAACAAGGCCATCAGCAATAAGACTGACTGTTTTTATACTGGTGTTTTTAATGTCTCAAACTGGTGTGAGGGAGGTAGGTGTCAGCCAAACAGCTAGAGAAACAGCCCTGTTTCTACTATTTCCACATAACATGTTCACAACAGATTGTTCACTTGACTTTCAAAGTTAGAAGGATGAGATTTTTTTTTTGTCAAAAGATGCTAGTTAAAGGGATATATAATTAAGTTATTATTACTTTATCATTTCCTTGAAGTAATAATCATCATAATAATCATTTTGCATGGCAGACACGGTAGTTCTTCTGCCTTAGCGTCACGGTCTGATTGCATTTCAATGAAGAAATGATCATAAATGCTCCTCCTTGAGCTGCGTCAGCCCACTGCAGTCGGTGATGGACTCGTTCGAGCTCTTCCTACAAACAAGTGGCTGCTGAAAGAGAGTAGATGAGTAGTGTTTAGTCTCTTTGCTAAAGAAATCAGGCACAGTTAAAAGGATGTTTGGTGGCTAGTGCTGTGGCTGGGACACTATATGTACTGTTGATGAAGTTAGATGCTGTTCTGAGCATTATTTGTGGCTATAGAGTGGCGTTTTGGTTGAGGTTTGTTTTTGGCTCCTTAGACCACTGTGTATTGCTATGGTGCGGTCATTACTAAAGTTGGTATAACAAGAGAAGCAAGCGGTCTCTCGAGGGGGTGTCTAACTCGGTGTTATGGTGTGTTTGACCCTAACTTAAAGTTATGCCGGAATATCCCTTTAAGCAGGTAAAGGACAAGATAAGTTAAGACTTCTTTGTCCACAAGGGGGCACTTAAACCGACTCAAACTGAAAGTTCCTCTCAGGAACTTGAAGTATTTAAGTACTTTCACAGAAAAGTCTGTCGTGTTTTCAGAAAGCTCAAAAGAGATAAGCAGCCAAGCATTCACACAAAATAGGAGAACTATTTGTTGACCAGCTTGTTTCTGATTCACCAGCAAGCAGCAGCCTGGTGTACTGCAGCATATCCAACTCCCAGCTGTCCATGTTGTCTTTTGTCTGGATTTTGACAGGGAAACACACAAGCAGTGGAGCAGGGTGGAGGGGCTCTGCACTTCAGCAGCTGGCACCTGTAAATACCCGTTATTGTCAGTGCTCAAATCACTATAAAGCCCACTGTTTTTCATATTTGTGCTTTTTAATCCAATTTTAGATATGCAGAAACACAAGCACACAATGTCTTTTAGTGTCATCAGCAGGAGGCCTCAGACTGGACCGATGAGCAAACAACTGTGTGCAGCGTAGTGCTCATGGG